TGGAGTTTGAATAGTTGCTATGGTAACTTTGTGGCTTGTAAAGTTTATAATATTTCCTATCCGGCTCATTACAGAAAAAGAAAAAGTATGTCCTGCTTGAAAACATATGGACAGATAAAGACTGTTTCATTGAGGAAGCAATCATTTTTAGAAAAAAAGTGGAAACTTGGCATTTGTACGTAAAGAACAATATTAGTATTTGCAAGATCAGTTTAATTCCACTTTTTTCATGGATTTTCTAGCTAAAATCCTTAACTTTCTGTAACTAGTTCAGCATGTTTAAGATCAAAGATTACAAAAATAGATAATATACACCCACCTGCTGCCTCCTTCTCCCTTCACCCCCAGGACACTCTAACTGTGCAGCAGACATCTGAACGCTATAGAGTTTAAGGCTCTGCAGGTTCAAATCTTAGGTCTCCGGTTTAATTAGCTGTATAAACTTTAGGTAAATCCTTCTCTTCTTCAGCTGTCAAAGGGTGAATAGCAATATCTATCTCTTGAATTTTAAGAATTAAATGGAAATACTATATCCTGAGAATAGTACAGTGCTTGGTACACACTGACTGCTAAATAAAGATCAATGAAACCAGATTACTTTCATCGACATTTCCCACCCTAAATTCCCAGTGTTACAGATGAAAAAAGCAAGGCTTCTATTAATTATGGCACAGCTAAGTGACCAGATGACAGAAATTACAGGCAAGAGGAAAGTTAAAAATCTTCCAAAGCATCTCAAACTCTTAGTGTCACAGTTCTAGGTCTAGGTCTTCAAATAGCTACTTGCCCTCCTATAATAATCCAGTTTGGTTTCAAGGCAGGAAAGTGAAATTAACTAAAGGAGGCACCTTTGCTCAGTCCTAAAAATAACCAGGAGGAGTATGAGAGTAAGTATCTATTTGTATCTCACAGGCCTTTGTGATGGGAAAACACCTACAAAGGGTTAATGGAATCTGCCCCTGCTAGAGGTGGTTTTGTTTTGCAATGGAGAAGCCTGCTAGTACATCTGGTTTTTAAGTCTCTTCCCTCTCCAAAACAAAGGCTCAAACCCCAAATAACAGTGCCGGTTTGATTACTACAATAATAAAAATTTAATGCCAATGTAATTTTATCAACTCTTTTCATTCTGACATGTGACTAAATAATTAATATTAAAAACCTAGAAGGGAAAATAACTGTAATCCACAAAACGAATTTTCCAATTTTTGTACAAAATATTTGCCAAGCCAAGGTTTCAGAACTCTTGCAATAGCTGGCCAGTTTATGCAGCTGTGCCAATCTCCTGGTTGCGGAATAAGGTTTTCATTTGAGTAAAATTTTTAAGTACATTTTTGTCCTCACCTCCCCCCCAAATGACTTATTTTTTCTAGTTTTGTTAAAGGATTTCCAAGTTTCTTATATTTCTACAATGGTTAGTTTAATCAACAGAAAAATAAGACTAGTCGTTCATGTTACTCAGGAAGCCATGAGTCAGTGCAGAGTTTCTAATCTCCCCCAAAACTTCTCTTGGCAAGACAAATTCATGATCTCTTTGTTTGTTGTTATGCAAGCCTCCAATTGGATGAACAGAAGTATAATTTAATGTCTCCCTGATTCAGGTGTCAAGTAGCAAGCTAAGTTCAGTTCCTACATTATACTGACACTGCTCCACAGGATTACCAGGAAAATTAATATTGATTTTTACAGGCATCTAGGCACTATTAAACCTACAAAGATATTCTGGGCACAAATATACTCAGGACTATATTCATGTCTCATGTTTTTTGTAAGTAGTAACTCATTTTTCTTTACACTTAATTTTTATCCCTATTTCCTTTCACTTTTTATTGTTTTTAAACCTATTTCTTTTTACTACCTAAACAGAGGATAGAAAAGACAATTAACAAGCCTAGAGAAGTCTTCAGAGATACAACCAGATATCATTTTAGAAGCCATTTATATTTACTAACCTTGTTTTAAAAAGTTACTGTTAAACTCCAATTTAGTTTCCCTGCATAGAGTTAAATAATTTACTTGACCACATTTCATCACTGCTCCCTTTTTAGAGATAAGATGGTTGCTAGAGATAAACTTAAAAAAGAATTGTATTGGACACTGGGCTGGATAAGGGTGTAGAAAGGTAAACAGTTCCTTCCAAAGAGCGTAATTCTAGCCGGTGTTCCAGTACACACCAAAAAAAAAAAAAAAAATAATGGAGAAGTGGAAAGTAGTTTTTGTTCCAAATTCTACAAATGTCACCTTCTTGCCCTAGGGCTGTTTTTCCTCCTAACCCTGTCAGTCTAACAACAACCCAAAGCCTCTTCATTTTCTATGTCTAATCAGTATCAATCCAGTTCCAAATGTTTCTTACTTTACTCTTACTCATTTCTCACTGCCCCATTTTTGAACTTTTACGACACTCACTTTATAACATTTAACTTTGTATTACTCAATTTCATTTGTCTATGACTTTTTACTAAATTGAGAAAAGACTAAGTTCTGTGCAATTTCCTTACCTAACTCGTAGAAATATGCAATAAACTTTTCAGGGGAAGAACAAAATCCACCCAAGGCGCTTCACATCTGGCACAAATATGTACCCTGGAAACCCTGCTTGCTTTTGCTTCCTCTTTGTTGGACTGCAGCTGCAATGCTGTGTATGTGGCTATGCTGAGTTAATACCCTATTACCCCTCATTTCTTTCTTCACCTTTAAGTCTATTAATTTTCCAAAAACACAAGGTTAGCCAGAGGTAATTACTTCAGGTTTTCCGTCTGTCAAGAAGAACCAGAAAATAAATCCTCAGATTACCAACAAGGCTCTGTAAACAGAAAAAGTTTAAAAATAAATGAGCTGTACACCTTTCTAGACGCTCCCATTAAAAGGGAGATTGGTTGGTGTTAGGATTAAACAGATCTTTGTAGTATTTCAGTTTCCCACTCCCGCCGATCGAAATATTCGTGAGTCCTACCTACCTCCCTAAGATTGTAAACAAAGGGGATCCAAGAGCACGCCTACTCTTCCACCCGCGGGCAGCAGGCAGGACGTGGCCCGCGGGGGGGGATAGCTGGGCCGCCCGGGCGACCCCGGGCGCCAGGTGGACTCGGCCCGCAGCCCGGAGCGCCCCCGCCGCGCGCGCCGCGCGCCCAGCTGATCGCGACCACGTGACGCCCGCCGGCCAATCGCCAGGGGCGGGGCGGCCGAGCGCGGCTGCGGCGGGGCCTCCCCCGGCACAACAAACACCCGCAGGAAACAGCTGAGCGGGCGCGGGCTCCCGGCTCCGCACACCCGCAGGCAGCTCAACAGTCGCCCCGAGCTCTCCGCCCAGGGTTCAGCGGGGCAGGGGCGGCGGACGTTCAGCCAGCAGGGGCCAGGGAGAACACCGACCCCGCCCGTGGGCAGTGCCTCACGGACAGGGCGTGGGGCTCTTTCCGAGACCGGTCACGCCGTGGCGTCATCGTGGCCCACACAACTCGGCCAAGTTCCGACTTGACTTCGAGGCGGTGGCGGAGGAGCCCGGCGGCGCGGAGCCCTGCGCGCCCCCGATACTGCGGCGGGGACGGCGGCCCGGTGGGGGCGGGGCAGCAGGGGCGGCTCCGGGGTGTAGCCGGTCGAACCACCCAGGAAGGGGCGCCGCAGGCCTCCCCAGAGTGGGGGTGGGGGCGCGGCCCGAGACTGCGGGGCGGGGTCGGCGGGGACGCCGCGCTGAGGGTCGCGGCTGTTGCTGTCGCGCCCGTCGCCCGGCTGCGCGGCGGGGGCGGGCCGACGGCGGCCGCCGCGCCAGGCCTCACAAAGAGCAGCAGCCCAGCCCGTCGACCCGCAGTCTCGGCGCCGAGACCCGCCCAGAGGGGCCGGGGGCGGCTGCGCCGGGACCCCGGGGGAAGCGCAGCAGGGCTAAGGCACTTCCTGCCTGGGCCCCCCGCCCTGACCAGATCCCTGACTGCTTCGAAGCTGCCCAGTCTGGACTCCTCTGCCTGGGCTCCTCTGCCTCCACCGGCTCGGACCCTAGTCCCCAGCAGCACTCACCCTGAGCTGCGGTGAGGTCTGCGGCCGCCAGCGGCTCTTCGCTCCTCAGCTGGGATGAAGCCCCTCAGCCACCCGAGTCTCCAGGTTTAGTCAGGCCCAGGCCTTGGCCCCGCCTCTCTTAGCTTGGGCCTCAGCGTCAATCATCCGCTGTGGCTCCGCCCCTCCAGGAGTCGGCGGTCCCGGTTGGCCCGGAACGCCCTTCATTTCTAGGCCCCGCCTCTCTTCTCGACACCCTGCCCCTTCCGCTGAGCCCCGCCCCTTCTCTGGCTCACCCTCCCCCACTCTAGTTCTCTTTTGCTTTTCGGCCCACCCCTCCCAGAAGCCGCAGATCCAGGGCCTGCTCCCTGCAACTCGCCCCGCCCCTGACCTAACATCTTGGACTCGTACAGCCAATCAGAGAAGCTAACTCTACCCCTCTCCCGAGGCTGCCAATGCGGCGAGACCTAGGATCCACCCCTCCTCCCCAGCTGAGAGCACACAACACAGCGTCCACGTGAGTCAGCTTCTTAAAGGAGACGGCTCCGCCTAGTTAATTGCGGCAGCTGGGAGCCTTCGGGCGTCATTAGCGTCACCAGGTGGAGACGAGGGCCTAGCTTTCTGATACCCAGTGAGGCCCAGTGAAGACGAATGAAAACAACAGGCAGTTTTCTAGATCTAAGCAGGTATGTAGGGAGTTAAAATGCACCATGTAATTCATTTCTTCGAGACGCTTGTCATTCTTACTTTCAAAACCCTAACCCTTCCCATGTGAACATAGAGGCACTCCTGGAAAACATGCAGGGGAAAGGATTTTTCAACTGTGCCCGACTTTATTTACATCTGCTTGAGTTTTTTCGTAGTAGTAGTAGTGGGAATGATTCTCAAAAAAGATGAGAAAATCCAGTCTTATACATAGAGATTTTCTACCTCAGAGAATCTGAAATTTGTGAACAGGGTAGCCGTTCCCGTAGCCCTTACCAACGCTTTTTTTTTTTTTTTGGCCAGGGCTGGGTTTGAACCCGCCCCCTCCCTTGTATGGGACCCGCGGGCTCCCTACTCTGAGCCACAGGCGCCGCCCTTCAGCACTTTGGACTGAAGGTTTTGCTTCTCATTCCTTCGAATTTCTCAGGTACATTTTGTTGGCTTTCTGGAAAAAGCAAAAATATTCGATGATGCCTGTTTCTCAGATTACAATATAAATTAACATTTGAAGTCAATTTGCAAGGTGTTTAAAGCCATATTTGGTGGGACAGATGTTCTGAAGCAAATCCCAGCTCTTGACTCCTGATCATCCCCAAATCCATCAGTGTTTTCATTCAGTTCAAATAAAGTTCATATGACCCTCAAAGTCAAAGGACTAGTTATGGTTTCTTTTCTTTTTCCCAAGAACCAGGGTAGTAGTGAGGACTAGTTATCTTTTGATAAGTGAGTTATCTCTTTGTTTTAGTTAGTATTAATTACAAAAGTAACACGTTTATTGTAGGAAGGTTGTACTGTCTCACTTCATAAAAAGACTGCCATCTGCTAATGGGCTTCCTCTGTATCCTCCTCTCCTCCCAAAGTGAATGCACACAGAAGCATATTGTACCGCTTGTCCTTTAACTGGCTTTTTTTCACTCAATATGTTATGGCCATCCTTTTATGTTAAATTTATCTTTTATATTAAGGTGACCAGACGTCCTGCTTTTGGCGGGACAGTCCCAATTTTTAACAATTTGTCCTGTTCACGTGGTGTTAAAAAAAAGTCCTGATTTTTGGAAAGAATGCAGACAAGCTAGGGAATGGCTTGGAGAATGGAAAGGGAATATACAGTTTCTGCTGCTGAAAAGGTTAATGTAACTCCATTTGGGAATGAAGAGGTTAATGTAAACTCCCTACTCCCCTCCTGGGCAAGGTCACCCAGGTAGAATCAGTATTAGAAGGATACTGGCTCCCTCCCTTGCTTCTAGGCAAGGACAATTAGCTCAGAAGGAGCCAAACTGTCTGGAAGGAACAAGTAGCCCCCCACCCCCAGGGTCCCTAACCATAAACAGCTCAGCCAGTAGCCCCACCCATCAATGGTGTCCTGCTTTACCAATGTTAAAATCTGGTCACCTTATTTTATCTAAAAATTTATCTTTATGGTTTTCCATACTTTGAATCCACCATCTTTCATTAAACAGTTTTCTACTGATACATAGTTTGCCTTCAATCTTTTAGTACTAAAAATACTGCTGTAATCAACACCTGTATTCATCATGAAACATTCATCAAGTATTTCTGAATACAACCATTCAAAAAGAGAGTAAAATGCTTAAACTCACAGGAATGAACACCTTTAAGTTCCAGATAAAACAACAGGGGCGGTATTTATTCATTTAACAAATATATATAAAGTGCTTCCTGTTCTAAATCCTTTAAAATTACTAACCTCTTCAATTTTTATAACCCTTAGTTAAGTACTGTTATCCCTATTTTGTGGGTGAGTAAACTGAGGCACAGTGATTAACTTGTCAAAAGTCACCCCATAGAGTTATTGACGATACTTGTAAACTTGGAAAAAATGGTGAAATTTTATTTTAGAAAGATTACTCTGGATAATGATGATGTGCAGAGTTAAAATCCAAGTATGAGAGTGGGTGTGTTAGCTCACACTTAGAATCCCCAATACTTTGGCAAGGCTGAGGCAGAAGGATTGCTTGAGGGTAGGAGTTCAAGACTAGCCTAGGTAACATAGTGAGACCCTATATTTACCAAAAAAAAGAAAAAAAAAAAAAAGGCAGCGTCTGTAGCTCAGTCAGCAAGGAGCCAGCCACATACACCTAGGGTGGCGGGTTCAAAACCAGCTGGGGCTTGCTAAGCAATAATGACAGCTGAAACCCAAAAATAGCTGGGTGTTGTGGCAGGCACCTGTAGTCCCAGCTACTTGGGAGGCTGAGGCAAGAGAATCGCTTAAGCCCAAGAGTTTGAGGTGCTGTGAGCTGTGATGCCACCGCACTCTACCCAGGGCAACAGTTTGAGACTCTGTCTCAAAAAAAAAACACACACAAAAATACCACATAGTATCCAAGTATAAAATAAGAGCACAAAAGAATGAAATTGAAGGTGCAGATTTAACTTTAACAAGAATGGCTGCACAGGGCTGACTGTTTATCAGTGGACTAAGGACATACTTTTCAAAGATAAACCAGAGGTTTTATACTAGGTGACTGGTAGAGTGAATATTTCCCATTTCCAGATACTGAGCAGTTGGGAGAGTTGATTTGGGATGAAAGACAATGAGTCCGAGCTGAGGGTGGCACACTCATTAGGTATGAAAAGTATACAATTAAAGATCATATAACAAATACAGAAGAGAAATTAAAAAAGAGTGAGGTTTGAAATCTATCCTGCTGAGTTTTAGGTTAGAACTGTGTTATACAATAAAATAATTTGGAATAGATGTTTTACAGAAACTTTATACTAAGACCACTAAGAACAAGGTGCATTTTCCATTTTTCAAGTGTTCTTTCACGTCTTTCAGTACAATTTCATGGTATAGCTGCCTCTGTCTAGGTTGTTCATAAGGCATTGTAGGATAATATCTAGGTATTGCATGTTTTCTGGGGTTGTTATGTGCTAAATTGAGTACACCCTCTCCCAATTCATTTATTGAAACCCAACCCCTTGTATCTCAGAATGTGACTGTATTTAGAGGTAGGGACTTTATTTTTATCTTTTTCTTTTGAGATAGAGTCTTACTGTATTGCCCTAGGCTAGAAGGCTGTGGTGTCATAGCTCACGGCAACCTCAAACTCTTGGGCTCAAGCGATCCTCTTGTCCCAGCCTCCTGAATAGCTGGGATTACAGGTGCCCAACACGTTGCTCAGCTAGTTTCTCTGTTTTTAGTAGAGATAGAGTCTTGCTCTTTTTCAGGCTGGTCTTGAACTGAGCTCAGGTGATCCACTGGCCTTCACTTCCCAGAGTGCTAGGATTACGGGTATGAGACACTGTACCTGGCTTGGAGATAGGGACTTTAAATGGTGATTATGTATTAGGCCATTAGAGTGGGCCCTAATCCAATCTAACTGGTGTTCTTATGCAAAGAAATGAGGTCACACAGAGATACCAGGGATGGTGGCACAGAGAAAAGACCATGTGCGGACACATGGGGAAGGCAGCCAACTGCGAGCCAAGGAGAGAGGGCTCAGAAGAGATTACACTCTTCAACACTGATTTTGGACTCCTAACCTCTATAACTGTGGGAAAATAAATTTCTGTTTAAGCCACCCAATCTATGGTATTTTATTATGGCAGCCTTAGCACACTAATACAGGTGGTTACTGTAAA